ATTGTAAGTAATTCATCATTGAATTCATTTTCTTTGATTAATTTTAATATTTCCATGATGGTACTGCAGGTTTCACCAGAACAATTGAGGCACACTGCAGAGCATAAGAGATATTCTTTTCGTAACCACACATACTTCCACAGTTTCCTTGCATCAACATAAAATTAATTCAGGAGTTCGGGGTGCTAGATTTTTTTGCCAAAGTTTGGATTGGTATCCAAATTTTTTCTATACTCTTTCTAGTTCCAATCTTCAGGATCACAGTATTTGCCGAGTAACGACTGAATCTGGTGATATACTAGGAGACTGTGAAAACGGCTTGCATTTTATGTTGGACGTTAGCAATGATAAATTTAATACATTTTTGGTCACTGTATTGGCAAATCGTGTGTATCTCATGCTGTCCAGACAATTATCTTAATTTACACCATATAAGGAGACGAAAAAACGTTCACCAATTACAGTGAGCAAAGATGGCTAGACTTTCTCACTGAAAAATAACTCTGTTTCGCTAGCTAACTCAGAATGTTTCTATAAACTTTGGATTCATTTAAGTTTGCTCATTTTGTAAGCTGCTGATGTTGTATCGCTACCTGAAAACGCATGGAGAAACAGGAAATTCTCTGCACCTTTATATATTTAAAAAAAAAATACATTGGGCTGCTTCCTTCCTAATGCCGTGAGCAAGACAAGAATGTCAATGTTCTCTGCTACGATATTCACAGAATCATAGGATTCGGATGCAGCAAGCGCAGAATGGATGGTGACGGTATCTACATCTGATTCAGCCTGGTCTACACTAATACCCACATCTAATAGAGCATTTTTGAGAAGGTCTATTAAGTTTATTCTGTTCTTTCATTACCAAGAAATTTATCTTGGGTAATGTTGGTATGGTGCTCTTATTAAACTGTGTCTCTGGTGGTTGATTGGTGCTTTTTTATGCGATGCAAGTGCTCCCACGACTTTGTTCTACGATATCAGAGTTTTCGGAGTAGCCACTGAATATTATTCTTGCAGATAGTCTATAGTGTTCTTGAACATACCCAAAATACTTCTGAAGAATGTTGTTCAAATATCATCAAATATCATCGATAACAAAATGACTTCTAAGACTATTATTAGAGGATCGTTCTGCTGATGTAAAGGCATTAAACAAAGATGACTTGGTACCTTTTCTTATACCATCCTCAGCAAATAATGCCAATAAAAAATGTGTTCATTCGTATGTCAGATATTGTTTGATATCGCTGACGGTTTCTCTCGAAATGCACATCCGTTGAAATAAAAGTAAAGAACTGATGACGACAAGAGATTTTTCGACTTCAATAGTACCTACTGGTCATGGCAATAAAAGGAAGAACCTAAGATTTGCGATGAAATGACAGTCGTTCAAGTCAGTCAAGTTCCTACGATGTTACTTATCAATCCTTCTCCTATATTAATAGCGTGATGACATTTTATAATTTTCAAGGCAACTATTCAATTGGCAATACAAATTAATTCGGATGTGATCTAGAGTAATATTATAAGATGGTAAATTATGAAGAAGTACTGCGGAGGATGAACACAACCGCGGATTTGGTCAACATTGTGAAGAGCCGTAAGCTGGAGTACTTGGGACATATAATGAGAAATCAAGGCAGATACGAGCTACTCCAATGCATTTTGCAGGGTAAAATTGAAGGAAAAAGAGCACCAGGACGAAGAAGAATAATCTGGTTTGCTAACCTGAGAGCATGGTATAGAAAGACCTCAACACAGCTATTTCGTATACACATACATAAGGTTCTTGAACTCCTAAGTGGAGCATAGAGCTTCAGTGAAAACGCGCCATCGGGTTCTATTTTGCGCTAAGGCCTTCACCTCATTCCAAGACTTTCCTTGTTTTCTTATCTCGTCCATGATGGATCTTCTCCAAGTTTGTACTGGGCGACCTTTTTTTCGTTTTCCTTGGGGATTCCACTCTAGGGCAGTCTTTGCAATACTGGAGTTATTTTTTCGGAGTGTGTGACCGATCCAACCCCACTTTCTGGACTTTATTTCATTTACTACCCTCTTTTGTTTGGTCAGGTGTAGTAAATCTTCGTTTCTGATGATGTTAGGCCAGAAAATACGAACAATTCTTCGTAGACATTTATTAACAAAGACCTGCAGTTTGTCTGTAAGGGTTTTTGTCGCTTTCCAGGTTTCACATCCGTAAAGTAGTACAGACATGACATTTGACTGGAATATGCGGATCTTTGTCCTCGTAGTGTATTCTCCAGACCTCCAAACAGGGTTGAGCATGCTGAAAGCTTGTTGCGCTTTTCGTATCCTCATACGAATATCGTCTTCTGTACCTCCGCTTTCTGTTATGACACTTCCAAGATACGTAAAGTTTTCCACATTTTCAATCTGCATGTTATTAATGGTGAATAGCGTGTTGTTTCTTGCATTTATTCTCATGGATTTGGTTTTACCAATATTGATTTTCAAACCTATTTTATTGGCTTCAGTGGAAAGTGTTTCCAATTGGTCAGCCACATCTTGGAACCTTTGTCCTAACAGGCAGATATCGTCGGCGTATTCTAGATCGCTTAGGCGTGTGGTTAACGTCCATTGTATCCCTCTTGTGTCAGAGTCTAGCTTGGAGAGAACATAATCTAGAGCTATGTTAAAAAGAAACGGAGAAAGCACGCATCCCTGTCTGACTCCAGTAAGTACGTCAAATTCGTCACTGTTTATCCCATTGTGTGTCACGCTGCATTTCGCTTCAGTGTACAGTAACTTTATAATGGAAATTATTTTATGCGGGATGTTTCTTAGCTCTAAAATTTTCCATATCGCATCATGAGATAAGCTGTCAAAAGCACGCTCGAAATCAACAAAAACCATGTATAGGGTGTGTTCCATTCAACCGATTGTTCCATTATTAGCCTCACAGTATTAATGTGGTCTATGCAGGAGGATTCTGGTCTAAAGCCTACTTGATTAGCTCGAAATTCAACCTTATTTGTTAATCTTTTAAGTATGATGGTCGTGAAGATTTTATTTATGGCGGTAAGCAAGGTTATTCCTCTCCAATTTTTGCATAGTGTGAGGTTGCCCTTTTTTGGAAGCTTAGTAATTATGCCTTTTTTCCAGCCCGCTGGAATGCGGTTTGTTTCCCACACCTCTCAGATTATGGGGAGCAAAAGTTCAGCAGTTAGATGCGGATCAGTTTTAAGCATTTCGGCAGCAATGTTATCGATTCCCGGAGACTTGTTATTTTTCAGAGATTTTATAGCTGTTATTATCTCTGTTTTGGAAGGGGGGTCGCAAGATATACGCAAGTCTATATTCTGTGGATTTTCGACAATTTCATCTGCGTTATCCCTGGGCGTGCCTAGCATCTCCTGAAAATGCTCTTTCCATCTCTCTATTTGGTCATTTGTTGTAGTAAGTAGTTCTCCTGTCTTGGATCTTACGACGTTTGAACAGTTGGGCCCACTTTTTGTTAGACGTCTAGTAATTTGGTATAGCTCTCTAGTTCTATTGTGTTGTGCAGCTATTTCGGCTTGTTTTGCCAGTTCTTCAGCCCATCTTCTTTTGTCTCTTCTTGCATTTCTTTTAACTGCTTTATTTATTGTTTCATATTCTTGTTGTCGGTTCGCTCTTTCTTCTACAGTTCTTGCTTGCAGAATATCTTTTTTTGCTGTTTTCTTTCTTCGATAAGATTCCAAGTTTCATCTGATATCCATTCTTTCTATGTTTCTCTTTTTATACCCAGTTTAATCTATTTCGTATAGCAACCAATAAAATCATCATAACCAAATGATGGCCAACGTTTGGAACGTACAGGCACCCTAAGAAGAAGAAGATAAATTATATCAATAAAAAAATCATGCAAGATTGCATACTATCGCGGTTATTGTTTAATGCTTATTCTGAATAAATCATACAAGAAAAAGATCTGGCATGGCCCTCAGAATAAGGCTAATTAAATGCTATGTTCACAATGTGCTCTACTATGGAGCTGAATCATGGACATTAAACCGGAATACAATAAATCGACTTAACGCGTTTGAAATGTGGACATTTAGAATATTGTTAAAGGATTCCATGGGTAGATAGAGCCACGAATACAGAAGTGTTAAGGAAAATAGGCAATAGAGGGAAATGGAAAATACAATCAAAGAAAGAAAATTGCAATATCTCGGACATGTGATGAGAGCCGAAAGATACAACATCTTGAGACTCATAATTCAACGAAAAATAGAGGGTAGAAGAAGACGCGTTTCCTGGTTGAAGAACCTGAGAGAGTGGTTTGGTTGCAGCTCAAGACAATTGTTCAGAGCAGCTGCCTCAAAGGTCAGAATAGCCATGATGATTGCCAACCTTTGTCGCGGAGACGACATTTAAAGAAGAATAAAAAAGCATAAACTAAGCCTCAATACTCACGTATACGAGAACTCGGTCAAGTTTGGAGCGCTGAAAACCGTAGGAATTAGACAAATTTGTAGTTGAAATTCTATGTTAAAAAGACTCAGGTATCAACTGAGAGTAAAGCAAATAAAAAAATTGTGAATGTGATATTATGAAGTATTGGATGTTTAGATGCATATACGTCACAAGTTTGTGTTGCAGACTAAGGTGAAATAACGAATATTATTTCATTAAAATCATATTTCTCACTTTTATCATTCCTGACAAAGTCAAAAGATAAATAACATCATTTTTAAGAAGATCCCAAAGAAAAACTTAAATCCCATTTCACTAGATTTTACACGTGACATTTTTGTCTACTTAATATATTTGTTTTTTATATGTTTCTCTACTATCGATCTTAATGTCTTTATCTTAGCGGTTTTTGTTATTGGTCTATATTTTCTCTCTATCTTTTGGTTTTTTTTTTCAGCTAGTTGTGTTTATTCTTGATTCTCTAATTTTTTCGATTAACATCACACAAAACTACAATAGTCTAATAGCAACGCAACTCAAGCATATTCGTTACAATACCTTCAGAATTTGTTTAAATAAAACAACGTTTATAAAGAGAATATTTATGTGTTACTTTCAACAAATTTATTATACATCTAACAATTTATATACAGTTATTTGTAAACCATTGAAATGATTTTATTTAGATTCGCACTATTCTTCACTTCTGTGAATGTATACAGTATCACCAAGTTTTAGTAATCCTGTTTGTCTAACTTCCAAATGGACTCCCATAATTCCATAATCCCCTGGACCTTTGCACTTTCGGTAACTAAAACAAATTACAAACATATATAATATAATTGATGGATTCGACCGTTACTTGATGGAAAGTCATTTTATGTAACAATAAAACACTGAAAACTTTGTTTTCAAACTTTATCACTACAGCTGTTTCGGCCGATTGCCTTTCTCAAGTGATCTATTTTTGGCTTGCGTTTACACTTTATAGTCTCTAATGAAATAGGTTGAGGAGGGAGAACTGTTTGTCTCAAGTTTGTCATTCAGAATTATATCTGTGTTTTTTAATTTGTTGATTTCCATAGATTCTAACAAAGATAGCTTAAGGTCTTTATTTTGAATGTGAAGAATTTTAAATTTGTCATTAAAAGAATGATTATGATCTAGAAGGTGAAGTGCGTACGTAAAATCTGTTTTCTATTATTGAAAGCCCTTTTATGTTCTGCTATTCGTTTTAAAGTTTCTACCAGTTTGACCGATGTAAGTTTTTGGGCAGTCGCCACATTAAGTTTGTAAACATCAACAAAAATAGCCAAACACATAAAAAAGAAAGGAATAACACCAGCTTTCTGAACAAATAATAACATAGGCAAATATATTACAAAACAAGAGCCAAAATAAAAACCACTTACATAGTGGGGTGTACATTGTACACCCCACTATGTACAATCTTCGAGAGTACATCGATGAGAACAGTTTCTGAATCTAAGAAGATGTTCCATATTCTGTATTTGTCCACAATCACAGTTCACATCACCTTGGTCTATTTTTCCCATTTTGCCGTATTTGATTTTACTGGAGCGATTCCCGTTCTTATCCTATTCATAATTTTCCACGTTTTACAGTCTAAGGACTGACCGGTCCATTGAACTTGGAGAATAGGAAAATCAGGAAACTCAGGCGGTTCATCCTGCACTGTTCCAAGGAAGCTTTTCCTGGATTTTAGTCGCTTTCGTGGTGTTCGAGCTTTGTAAAGGGCATGCCACTCGTCCGCGATCTGTTTAATTTTCTCTATGTGCTCTGCGACGCCTCTGCATGTTGAGGGTTCTGCAAAACCCGCTGCTTTATATAGATTTGAGATTGGCGTTGGTTTGATGCACCCCGTTACTATCCCGCATGTCCTATTTAGAGCAGTATTAACTTGTTTGGTGTGGGCAGATCTAACCGAAACGGGGCATGCATATTCAGTAGATGAGAAACACAGTGCCTGTGCCGTTGTTCTTACAACGCCAGGACATGCACCCCATTTACTTTCCGTTAGCTTTCTGAGTATGCTGTTCCTAGTTTTTACTCTCCCTCTCGTTTTTATGCAACTGTAGGTGACGGACCGTTTTAGAGTTACTCCAAGATATATAGATTGGTTTGTGTGTTCTAATGTATTATCATTCTCAATTTGGAGTTTTAGCTTGGGGAGTACGCTGTCATTGTTTTTAAGGCAGTTTCGAGTTTCTCCTCAACTTCTTCAAACCTATTTCCTTGAGCACATATTGCGAGATCGTCAGCATAGAGAAGGTGTTTGGTTTCGGTCGACGTAGGTTGGTCGTTTTGTATATATATTGAAGAGAGGAAAGTTACCATTAATAGCTACCTTCAAGCGTCTTATTAAAATAAACGGTAAATTCAGTCATAAAAAAGAAAACTCTAAAAAGGCTCGTTTTATATCTCCATTTTCTTTCTTCTCCTATGACTTCTTCGCAGAACCACATAACAATCATAACCAGTGGTAGAAAAGAGTCAAACATCAGTGTCTTCAAGCCAAAAAACGCCCCGAAAAGGCAAAATAGTAACTGGCCACCGTCAATCAAATACCAGAGCAGACGTAGATCACCTACACGATGGACAAACGACGTCAAAACCGTCTTATATGACCTCCAACAGCTTATTGTAAAAGAGTTAATCAAAACCTGGTTTGAAAAAAGAAGAGCTCAGGGCTCTGTAAGAGCTTGCTAGAACGTTTGAGACTTCCCCACACTTATAAAGATATTGTTGCTTAAAAAGTCATTTTAATATAATAATATTACTTATCTGGTAACTCACGTTTTTAATGTAGTTAAAGGTTCCATAGCAGGATCCCTCATGCTAGTATCTGGATTTAGAGTCGTCAGCATACATCTGGTGCATTCTTTAACATTTCTCATAATAACGTCGCCAATTTTGATCCATTCCCAATTGTCTTCATCAAAAGCTTTGATGGTGGGACCGTTCACAACTAAGTTAGGCCTAAAATTGTGGACGCTTACAGTACCATTACCTATCTTTTGACACAAGTCGTTTACTGATGCCTGGTTTATTAAAGACATACTAGTAAGATCCGGATATAGTCCCTAAAAATTAAGGGTTAAAATTATTTAATAATATTGAACTATACAATTTGAAACTGTTCAAATACAAACTAAAATTTTTTAAATTAACAATAATCCAGAAGCTGTATACAGTGTGGAAACCATTTAGGAAATAAAATTGGTTATGTCTGTATTTTAGAAAATTATAAAAAAACGCTGGAATGCCTCAACTTTTAAATTCAAATGTGCGCTTTTCAACATAGATTTAAATGTACACAGTGATTTAGGTAAGTGTAACATAGTCCACTGCCAAAAATAATTAGATTTAAGCATACTAAGAAGAGTGGTACATGAAATGTACGAAGTTTATTCCATGCCGGAAAAGTGAACGTAATTAAAGAAATGCGAAGACTGACCATTGACATACTTGGATGCAGTGAAGGTAGATGGCCCAATTTATGCCAGTGCGAAATAGAAAACCACACAATATACTACTGTGGAGATACTAAAACAAGAAACAAAAACGGCGTGGCTATAATAGTAAATAAAGAAGTTAACAAATGTGTACCTAGTTTTATAGGAATATCAGATAGAGTTGCAGTACTCAAAATTAATGCTAAACCAGTTAACGTGAACATTATTCAAGCATATGCTTTAACTTCGGAAAGCTCAGAGCAGGAAATAGAAATATTCAATGAACAATTGAAAGAATCCCTTCTTCTTCTTCTTTGGGTGCCGTGTCCGTATTCAGACGTTGGCCGTCATCATGTTTACAATTTCCTGAAACCTTTCTCTGTCTGGGCGAAATAATTCTTCTACTGTGGAACCACACCATTGTCTAATATTACGCAGCCATGAAAGTTTCTTTCGACCAATCCATCTCTTTCCTTCCACTTTTCCTTTTATTATAAAGCGAAGTAGATGTTATTTAATTCCTCTAATTATATGGCCGAAGTATTCTGTTTTTCTCCTCTTTATGGTGTTTATGAGCAGACGTTCTGAATTGTTCATTTGAAGAAGTGTCATTGGAAGTGTGCGAAACCCACGATATCTTTAGGATTCGTCTATATGCCCACAATTCGAATGCTTCTAACTTGTTTAGAATTGTGTTTTTTAACGTCCATGTCTCACAACCATACAATAGGATGGACCACACATGACATTTCAGGACCTTCTTACGAATATTCATCGACAGGTTTCTGTTGCATAAAACTGGTTTCCACGTCATAAAAGCCTTACGTGATATTTCGATCCTGGTTATTATCTCTTCATCAGAGTCACAATTTACATTTAACCAGCTGCCAAGGTATTTGAAATGATTTTGAAAAGAATCCCTAAAACATACCAAAAAACAAGAAGTTAGGAAATTAAAACGCCACAGAAGGCGAAGGAGGTGTTGGCAATACGGTGGGACACTTTGGACTAAGAAAGCGAAATGATAGAGGAGACCGCCTTATTCAGTTCTGCCAGGAAACGGATAGTGCAATAATGAACACTTTTTTCCAATTACATTTCCAATGAAAAAAGTCAATAAACGAAAAGCACAAAAACATCCGGATTGGATATCCGGATGTTTTTGTGCTTTTTTGTGTGTGAAGTTGAAAGATAAAACCACAAGAGACGAAGTCAAAGTGGAAATCATCAACAAAATAAACAGCATGGTAATCTCAGATATTAATCAAGAAAACATAAGTGTGGGTGATATGTGGAATAAAATTAAAAATATCTGTAATTTAGTGGTAGATAATAAACTTAAATCAGAAAACAATATAAAGAAACAGCCGTGGATGAGATACACAGAAAACACAGAAATAAGAATGATGAAAGACACAAAGTAATAAACAAAATCATTAAGAAAAAAATTAAAGAAGCAAAAGAATCATGGTACAAGATCAATGCATAGAAATAGAATCCCTAGAACAGAGCATGACACTTTCAACCTAGATAAAAAGATCAAAAACTTAACGGGAGAAAACGGATCACGAAGTCATAACTTAATACTAGACGAGCACAATAATCTGCTCTACTAAAATGAGAGAATACTTGAGAGATGGAGGCAATACATGGAAGAATTATTCAAGGAAGAGCAAGAGTCAGAAGTAGTGTTTCTAGACGTTCAGGACCAGAAATAACGCTCAGTGAAGTAACATATGCAATAAAAAGACTAAAAACCAACAAAGTACTTGGACCTGATAAAATACAAGCTGAAATTTTAAGACTATTTGTAGACAACCAACTCAAACTCCTAACGAGTCTACTGAACAAAATCTATGAAACTTCAAAATTTCCTACAGATTGGCTAGTTTCCACCTTCACCCCTCTCCCCAAACAGGCAAATGCCACCAGATGTTCTTCTTTCTGTTATTCACTCTCGCGTATATAGAAAACTCAAAGAAAACATTAGCAATGTACACTTTGGGTTTAGAAGCGGACTGGGAATGCGAGAGGCCCTATTTTCCATACAAGTATTGATACAAAAAGCTCGAGACGTAAATTGCGAAGTCTACGCATGCTTTATAGACTTTGAAAAAGCATTTGACAAGGTTTAACATCAAAAATTATTTTAGATTCTGGAAGAATCTAGTATTGATGACAAAGATTTACGCCACTTATTAAAAATTTACACTTACAGCTAAGGGCAACTGTACGAGTAGACAACCAAACCTCCCAAGAATTCACGATAAAACAGGGAGTACATCAGGGATGCATTTTGTCACCGACGTTGTTCAATACTTACTCGGAAATGCTATTCAGGAAAGCTATTGATGGTTTAAAGTTTAAGAGAAGGTATAAATATCAATGGTGAAATCATAAACAATTTAAGATATGCAGACGATACAGTTTTGATTGCTAATAATGCGGAGGATCTGCAAACATTAATATATTGTGTAGTGGAAGCCTGTGTTGTCATGCATACGGCATGAAATTAAACTGTAAGAAGACTAAAATTCTTGTAGTAAGTAAAAACGACGTAATACAGAACCAATTCACAGTAAATAATGAACCCTTGAAAATAGTCGACAAAATTACATATCTTGGATGCAGGCTAAATAAGGAATGGGACTATTCTCAGGAAATAAGATGTCGTATGGAAAAGGCGAAAGCTCTCTTCAATCGCCTCAGGAAGATTTTATGTAATATGCACCTGAACATTGATATAAGAACACGAGTTTTGAGATGCTATGTATTTTCTACCCTTTTAGAGACATACTTAGGGCATGTGATGCGCAATGAGAGTATCAACTAATTCAAATAATTTTACAAGCCAAAATACATCTATTTATAGCAGCTGTCAACAAAGTTGTATGGACCAACGTAATTGCCAACATCCACAGAGGATAGGTACCAAAAGAAGAAGAAGAAGCATAGTCCATTATCTCCATTATCTTTACTTTTAATGAAACATCTTGTATATTTCAATTTCTGTTTAAAAATCGTTTAAATTTTAATTTAAAAGTGGTCTTTATGCCTATTTCAGATTTTGGCATCATTAGATACATCTTGAGCGAAGACGAGATGGGAAACATATCCATTCATATATCGGTGATTAATACACAATTTGTCACTCTGTAAGCGACTATCGCAACACTTTCTAACCGTCTGCTTCTATTTAATTCAGCTTGCGATAGTCACTTACGTGAAACACCTTGTATTTAGGGAAGTTAAGTGAAGATCAAGACCTGAAGTGTAGGGTTTATAACCACCTTCGGAGCCGAGAATAAAAAGAGTGGAATTTGTGGAATCAAAAATGCAAGATAAAATTATGGTCGTAAAAGATACAGATAAAAGAAAAATTTAAAAGATAATGAAAGGTTGCTGAATCTCTTTTTACTACCCTTGCTTTTGGAAGGAACTGGAGATAAAGAATTTAGCCTCGGAGTGGTCGAGGGCTTTTTTGGCTTTCTTAACAGATTGCCAATTATCAGAGGCGAACAGATCTTCTGAATATTTTTCTGATCGCTTTCAGATTCACTATCAGTGTCATAGTTTAGCTTTATTTTATTTATTACTTTGTACATAGGCCATCTGATACTAGTACTTACTGCAGATAAATTAGAAACTTTTTGATAAAATGATATGTCCTTTTTATATGCCGTTTGAAGATCCCTTTTGTAAACACCATCATGAAACCCTAACCGTAGACCAGTGGGTTTTTCTAAAATTAGTCTGGATAGCCAAGTGGCTGCTTCCTCTCCACAATCGATTGCATTGCAAGGTTCTGCTCTGTGTAGCCTAAAAAATAAACTGTGTATAAAATAGTCTGATACGTTAGCGACATATACATAGATAGCGACAAATGGATTCCGAGTAACCGGAATTTGGTCTTTTAACGAAGACGTATTTCAAGACTGCGAATTCGCTCCCTCTAAAACGACGGAACAATCAGTGGACAATGAAACTACATCACAGGTCAATAAATTACCTGTAATGATGGCTCATACCGAAGGCGTAAATCAAGTTGAAATGTATGATAATCCGATTCCTTCAACCTCAAAACAGTCTGTTTTAAGGTCACCTAAAGATGGCGATTCCGAAGATAACAGACCGATATAGAGAAGCCAAATCATGTTAAGTACGGACCAAACGCTCTTTCAAATCATTCCTATTCAATTTCCGACATCCAAGGTAAAAGTGACTGATATTAGTCCGCTACCAAAGGCACAGAAAAAGAAAGGTAAGACTTCTTCTAGACATTCTCTGAAATCCACGATACTCACAGAATCGCCGTGTAAAAATGAATTAGAGTCGTTGCAATCCACAATCCCTAAGGTTAAATCTGTGAAACGAACTGTAGTTATGGACCACAGCGCTCGAAATGCAAATATTAGCAATATCACAATCGTCACTTCAACTAAAGATGATTCAAACTGCATTGTATGTGGAAAGAAGTACGCAGAGAGTAGTGAAGACTGGTACAACTGCAAAATATATTCAAATTGGGCTCATGAGTCTTGTGGAGTAATGGATGATCTCTATTTTATTTGTGGAAGTTGTATAGAGTAATGTCCCTTTTTGAGAAACCCAACGGACCATCTTAGGATTCCGATTTCTCATGATGGGACATTCACACTTTTTTTTAATAACAAAAAACGAAGCATATTTTTTATTTTTTATTTAGTTTATATCTAAAATGTGTTAATAATTAGAATAAAGTTTCATTTTATTACCTCAACCTTTTTTTAATATCTATAGATTTTCCAGTATATGTTATACAAAAAACTGTCCCAACTTGGGTGACTCGCCCCTAGTGTAGAAGAAAGTTATTGATAAAACCTAAAATTTAAGGTACTTACGTGATGGTAACAGACTTATTAGTTTCTTTGCTGGGAATCTTAACATAGAGAGTTCTCATGGTAGGAGCATCCAAAGCAAAATGATTCTCATCATGTACAGATATATCTATCTGTAGCAATTGAGGATATGTTCTAGCTGTTCTAAATTCGTTATCTTTTTCTGTGTATACCACTAAACCCCTAAAATGTTAATTAGAATATTATGAGAGTAAAATATTAATTATGCAATGAGTCAAAATAAAAAAAAACATATTATGCACACCAAAGCTTTACTTCTAAGAGTTATATTTCAGTTTGTGTACTAAATTTGACTGGGCTAAAATAATTTTGCCGATTCATAGAATCGAAATTCTGTTATTTACCATACTCATTTGCATTTGTCTAATATCAAATAAAACTTAAACAAAACGTCAATACAATTATCATCAATCATTCAAATCATAAAATTAAACATTCGTCAATGGACTCAAATATGAAATGCAGGACAATTATTCCATATAACAGAAGATCGACAACCTTCGCAATGGAGAACACGATCACCAACGAAGGATAACTCTGATATGGCAGGTGAAGAATATAAATAACCATTATCATAAGCGGTAGAGTCCGACAAACTTAAGTTTGGGAATGTGACGTAGTGGTTCGCGCAGATGGGTATTCTAATACAACCAGAGAACTACGAACGCATACAACCATAGTTGAGCCTCGATCTTCCTCAGTCTATTTCGCAAGTCATTTCTGTTCTTCGCTAACCGTTGTCAGTTTACTGAGTCGATCTTCCTCGCGTCTTGGTCCACACCATCGCTCCATCTCAGTCTTGAGCTCCCTGCCCTATTTCCTATGCTAACAGCGCTAATAGGGTTCTAGCGGGTAGATTTCATTTTTTTGCTCTTGATATACGTGCAGCCAATAGAAGCCTACTTATTTTTATGAAAGATATACAGGGTGGTCCTTAAGTAATTGTACAAAAAGAAACCGTAGATTCTGCACTTTAAAATATTACGATTTAAGCCAACTTGCTTGTATAAAATGTTGATATTAAGAGAGATACAGGGTGTTAAAGAAGAAGAAGATTTAAAAATTTTTTTTTGCTATAACTTTCACATTTGTGATAGTACACGTAGAAAGTACACGACATTTATTTTCAGCGTTAGGAATAAGCAAAACTTCAGCTTTAAAAATCCTACATCGTATGCATTTTCATCATTAAGCAAAATCTATTGTCAGAAGATTTACCTTTAAGCTGCAGATTTGCAAATGATATCCGAAACAGCTAAAATCTTGACCACTAATTCGTCGATAGAATATTTTTGGGAACGAAGCTATAGTTACACACTAGGTCTCTTTAATTTAAAGAATAGTACATTGTTTACGGGTAGGAAAAGCTTAACATTCCTGGACGACTGTGAAGATTGCTAAGTCGAGGCGCAAGCCGAGACTTAGCAACACAGAGTCCAGGAATGTGGCTTTTCCTACGAGGTAAACATACTATTTTTCCGAAAATCGTTTAAAATTCGACAGATATTGATTGATTTAAAAAAAAACGCGATAATTTTATTCCCAAATAAATGGTGCTTTGAAATTTCTAATAAAATTACTTGTTACTATGGATACTATGGTTACTATGGAAACGTATTGAGGTTGAATTGTCAAACTTGACGCTTATAAATTTAATTGCTGGTGTTCTCGAAAGTAAAATGATAAGTGATGATGAAATTTCCATTCCTGGGACTCCTCCAGAGCTGGTTGAGGCAGTGAATACTGCTTCATTAGAATTATTGCCAAAGAAATCAAGAGAAAAGTACGAAAATGCATACAGACGTTTTATGGATTATCGCATGAGTAAAAATACGAGTTCTTTCTCAGAAAATGTTGTAATGGCATACTTCCTAGACCTTTGTTTAAAGATGAAATCTTCAACATTATGGGCCAATTATTCAATGCTGAAGTCAACCCTTGCACTTAAACACAATGTAGATATATCTATATCTATATCTATATCAAAACTTCGTTCTTTATTGAAACGGCAAGCTCAAGGTTATAGGGCAAAGAAATCTAAGATTTTAACGAAGGAAGAAATTGAAAAATTTATCCAGGAAGCTCCAGATAAAGAAAATTTAATGATTAAGGTAATTTACAAGGTTTTAATTTCTATTTAGATTATAGCTTTATTTATTTTTTAGGTGGCTGTAATATTTGGTATTTCTGGGGCCTGTAGAATGGATGAGTTAGTCCGAATGACTTTACACGATATAGAAGACTTAGAATCTAAGCTTTTAATCAGCATACCTGATTCGAAAACCAACAAACCAAGATCATTTGTAATTAATCAGATCTACTTGAATGTTTATCGAAAGTATGTTTCGTTAAGACCAGAAAATATGAACAGTGACCGATTTTTCTTTAAATATCAAAGCGGAAAGGGTTGTAGACAAGTGGTAGGAATTCATCAATTTAGAAAAATGCCCAAAATAATTGCTACTTATTTGAACTTGGTAAATCCGACAGAATATACTGGTCACTGCTTTCGTCGGTCTTCTGCAACAATATTGGTTGACTCTGGTGCCAACATAACTAGTTTAAAGAGGCATGGCGGATGGAAGTCATCAAACGTTGCTGAAGGATATATCGAAGAATCGCTTAACAATAAGGTTGAGGTGGCAAATAAAATTTTCACAGTACAAAATATTCAACAAAATGACACTTCCACCCTGCATGTTGTCCAAAATGTTTCTCATAGTTCTAAGAGTGTTCCTCCAATGTTCAATAATTGTACTAACTGTCAAATTACTGTAAATATAACAAATTGATCTTAAAAATGTATTCAGCAATGACTTGATGTTTTCAAAATATAAATTAATTCCTTATAAGCAATGTGTTTTCTATCATTTATGTAGAACACTAACAACTGTACGGAAATATCATTTCCGTACAGTAAGGAAGTCCTTACAGTAAAGAAGTCCTGACTTTTTCTTCAAGAAATTTTGACAGGAATGTCAAAATTTCCTGGCGATTTGCGGAAAAAATTATTTCTGAGACACTGAATATCCCCATGTAAAGAGAGAAAGGCATTTTCAACATGAATTTCAAATAAACGTATGGTTTGGAACCATTGTTAATCAGTTTTTACGGGCATGCTAATTAACTTGTAATTTGAATGGTGAGATTTAGTTACATTTTTTACAAAATGGTTTTATTGATTTGTTGGAAGAATTGTTATGAAACTTAAGGCAAAATATGTGGTTTATGCAAGATGGTACAATACCACATTATAAAGTGAAGGCAGTGAGAACATACTTAAATACAACTTTCCTGATCATTGGATTGGTCGTGGTAGTCATACTCCGTGGTCGTGTGGTGGGATTATTGATATAATTATTTAATTCATAAAAAATCACGAAAGTATGCTTATTATAATACTTATAATAAATACTGCAGCAGTTTCTTAAGAACCAATTATCCTGTTTAATATGAGACGATCTTTTATGGAATGTATTGACAAATGAATTAAAGAAAATGGTGGACATATCGAGCACTTACTTTGACAAAAAGTTTAATATTATTTAGTTTAACTATTTCTTAATTCGGTTTGTAAATAGAACGTTTTGATTATGAATTTAATTTCACATAAAACGTGAAATATTTGATGTAAAATCCTATTTTTCTGATTTCTCAAATCGTATTATACTTTATCCTGCTGAAATATTTATTTTATTTAATATTTTATTAACGATTAACTTGTTATATATATGCAGCTGATTTGTAAAATGCGATTATTTTGAAAACTGTTGAGTTTTAAAGTTATTTACAGGTATACCTTTTTTTTGTTAAAATAACGCATCTTTAATATTTTTTATCAAGAATACCAATAACTTGAAGAACAAAAAAGTTAAGTGCAAATTTAGGCCACATGTGTGGCATATGTAGCGCCCTTCAGCTACATCAAAGTATGCAACAAATTATAATTTCTTATATTCAAAAGTACCCAGTTGTAAATTTTTATACAAAAATATTTACAAATATGAAAGTTACAGCGAAAAATAAAATTTTAAATTTCCACTTTAACACCCTGTATCTTCATTAATATCAACATTTTATTAAAGTTTGATAGTATACAAGGCAACTATCGAACACAGTGATTAATTAAATCTTACCCAAGTACTTTCAATCAATAGATCCATCTTCAGGGGCATTTCGTCAGTTGTGGCCTATCCGACATGAGTAGAATGTCATAAATAATGTAAATTTGGACATAACAATACAACACACAAAGACAAACAAACACTTTAAAATTTTTAAAAGGAGAAGCTACATGTTACATAGAAACCGGAGACAGAATGGGCTAAATTGCTTTTTATTAAAGCAAGTTGGCTTAAATCGTCATATTTTAAAGTGCAGAATCTGCGGTTTCTTTTTGTACAATTACTTAAGGACCACCCTGTATAAATAAGCATATTATAAACTTCCGGGAATACCCGAAGAGAAAATTAAATTATCGTTAACAGGTATGAAGAACAACAAAATACCTCAAGACGATGGCATTGTAAGTGAAATAATAAAACTAGAATGCGAATGCGTCATACAAGACGTAAAAACTCTTTAAAAGAGTTTTGTTATATGCAAATCACCTAGTGTGGTTTTTAGGAGGAAGTGATTTATTTGATCGTATACTTGAAAGTATACTGTATGATCATTAGTTTCATTGATCAAAGTTCCCGAGTACTGATATTTTTCTACTTATTCTATCTATCTATTCCTTAACTACCGACAGGTAAATAATTTATTCATCCAACCGTTTGCCGAAAGAATATTGAAGAGAGTATGGCCAGAAGGCCATAATGCCTACTGCAATAATACTTAATGTGCGTTCATAACGAGGCGCCGAACCTCGATTGGACCATAGGATGGTATCATATTATCGATTTTGGGTCAAATAAATTTATTATATTACATGCGAGCGTTCACAGCCAGTGCTATGTTCTAGGCGAGAATACCACATGATGGTATCCGTAATAGAGCCGTCAGGCTAGGCGCATAAACATTAAATTTGAACGGTCGATAAAAGTTCGATCGAACATTTGTCGATGATGCTTTGCACGCACACTACACGATATTTATTCGATGACGTTTTTTAATCCACAAAGGTTTGTTAGGTGGAGTACACAAAATCACAATGAAAAACACAGAAACACGGAGCGACGTACCTTGAGCAGTGTCAAAAAAACGCAACTGGTCCTCTTGTCGGTCGATAAAGATCGATGTGTGTGCGCGCGTTCATACGCCTTGGAACGACGGCAACGACCACGGCAGCCGTCCATTCTAGTGACATTCATCGGTCCCCACACGACATCGATGCTGTGCCGTTTGTCGATCGATGTGTGTGCACGCTAACATTGTTTCTTCGCGACACCAAAGGAATTTGTTCGATCGAACTTTTATCGACCGTTCAAATTCGACGTGTGTGCACCTAGCCTTACTGGACAGTACCTAACTCACGTTAATTTACTTACAGACTATTTACTTATTACTCTATATATAGAGTAGATTATAAACATGCAATGTAACAATAAAAAATTGCTAGTAAACGACATTATAGATAAGATTATTTAAGAGGATATAGGCGAGTGCTTTTTCTGATACACACCAAAATTATTCTTAATAAACTAATAGAAAACACGGTATAAAATAAAATATTACTTGATTGTCACTCGTAGGGGTGAGGTCAAGTATTGTACATCTATGCCATTTTTGCCGATTAAAAATAGTTAATGTTTGATTCGTACATTACCTGTCTCTTAATTGCAGTACTTTTTCATCCTGTTCAGTCTGTTTTAAACCAAGAGGGGTACATTCGGCTTGATTTAACTCCTTTCGGTGACCACTCTTCAATGGATATAGATATAGACCTGATAATGTACCTACTTCCTCCCATTTTGTTGGTATTTTTACAGTCTTTCTCTTTTGAAAAAACTGGAATCCGAGATAAGCCAAAACAGCAGCGCCAGCTACTAGAGTTGTGCTAGTAGCTACTACTTGATTGTTGATCATCTCAGTAGCGACCTAGAATAAATTTAAAATATTTGTAATCAAATAGCAACAGAAATGAATTCGCCATTTTGTTTTTAATTCATATTTGGTTAACTTTACTGAATTGTGCCTATAAACTTTTGGAAAAGCTTATTTATAACAGAATCTCTGGCAGATATTGTAACGTTTGTTACTTTCTAATTATAATTTAAACATCAACAGTCTTTTATAAGCCTAAGAGATCGACAATCCGTATTACCGGCAGAGAACATACGAACATACGAACTGCGTTCCGGTAATATATATTCTTTATCTATGCTGCGTTCGTAGTTCTCTGTTACCGGCACAGGAATTGAACGTCATAAATATGACAACAAAATATTCATAGCTGCTCTAGAAGAGGGATTTCACTTCGATGTAGAGAGAGAATCAAATTATTAGGATGGCGTGTTAGCTTTTTGTGACGAAAAGTTGTTGTCAAGAATTTATTTTAATTTAAAAAGATGTATAAAGTTTGGAGAATATTGGATTTTTATTTATTAGAAGGGTTTAAGAATGTATTTTGGTTTGTTTTTTTTCTTGGTGGAGTCTGTAAGTGACCCGGTAAGATATAATTTTCATATTTAATAAGCAGCCACGTTGAAATCTTCTTTTATAAAATCTATACAACAATAACAAATTAAAATGTTTTATTATATCATGCTTCTTGCTTTTTTCATGGATAATCTATTAATGTTCTATTCATTGAATTCATATGTTTCATGCCGAAACTCAGATAATTGTTTCAATTTATCCAAGGTATCAGGAAATTTCACAAACCATATCCGGTTTTTTAGCCATCCTACAATATCAATAATTTCTACATGTTGGAAAATTAGAGATTTTAAGTCTCACAAGGGCTGTGCGATGATAATGGAAATCTACAACTAGACCCCGACAAAATAGTTAGAATCTGGAAAACTTATGTGGAACAACTGTTTAATGATGACCGTCCTAGTGGGTGTACAGTGAGCAATGATGATACTGGCCCTTCTCTTCTAAAATCAGAAGTGGAGAATGCCATAAAGGGTCTTAAAAATAACAAAAGACCAGGCAACGATAACGTATACGAGGAAGTATTTAAAATGCTGTGCGAAACAAACAGTAAATTTCTAGACTCACTCGTCAGACTCTTTAACAATATTTATAACAGCGGGGGTTTCCTGAAGACTGGCTAGAGTCAACTTTTGTTGCCATACCGAAAAAACCAAAAGCAAAGTCTTGTGATCAACATCGGATGATAAGTCTAATTAACCACATTTCGAAGGCATACACCAAGGTTATTTACAACAGATTAAGCAAAAAATGCGAGGATAACATTGGAGATTCGCAGTTTGGGTTTCGGAATTCTCTTGGGACAAGAGAAGCACTTTTTAGTCTACAGGTACTCATCCAGCGCTGCAGAGATATGAACAAAGACGTGTACATATGCTTTATAGACTACGCAAAAGCATTCGATAACGTAAAGCACGAAAAGATAATTGAAGTTCTCCATAAGATCGGAGTCGACTACAGAGACATTCAAACAATAGCGAGTCTCTATTGTGAAACAGCTAAAGTGAAAGTAGGATCTACATTGACCAATAAAATTGAGATCAAGAAAGGGGTACGACAGGACTGTATCTTGTCTCCAATTCTCTTTAATATATACTCAGAAGAAGTATTTACGACAGCGCTGGAGGAAAGCACAGAAGGCATAAAGATAAATGGAGAAATAATTAATAACATAAGGTATGCTGATGACACTGTGATTCTAGCAAGTAGCATGGGGGAACTGAGTTGCCTAATGAGTAAGATACAAAAAACAAGTGCACAATACGGACTCAGACTAAATATCACAAAAACCAAATGGATGTTAGTAAGCAAAACCCAACAACGACCACAGCAACTGATATTAGACAATGAAAGAATTGAACACGTGGATTCGTACATCTACTTGGGAACAACAGTTAACTCAAATTGGGATCAAGCGAAGGAAATACGTATAAGAGTAGAAAAGGCAAGAGCATCGTTCACTAGCATGAAGCAAATTTTCACTTTAAAAGCCTCATCCTACCTCTCAAAATTCGACTTCTGAAATGTTATGTATTCCCGGTTTTGTTATATGGAATGGAGGCGTGGACAATGACCGCAACATTGATGAAAAAAGTAGACGCCTTTGAAATGTGGGCTTACCGACGTATATTACGTATATCCTGGACTGAGCACGTGACCAACGAAGAGGTACTACGCCGGATAGGTAAAGAGAGAGAGGTAGGAATAAGTATAAAGAAAAGAAAGTTGGAATACTTGGGTCACGTTATGAGACATAATAAATATAGAGTACTATAGCTGATCGTTCAAGGGAAAATAGCAGAAGGGTCCAGGGAGGAGAAGACGCTCGTGGCTCCAAAACTTGCGGCAATGGTTCGGATTGTCATCTGCTGAACTATTCAGATCTGCCGTAAACAAAGTCAGAATAGCCATGTTGATTGCCAACGTTCGGAATGGACAATGCACATGAAGAAGAAGAAGAAGTCTCACAATATTGTGTTGTGAGCACATCTCTTGCATTTTTGTTACATTGGACATGCCTCTATTCTTGTTAAATTGGTGCTTACCACAAAAACCCACCTACAAAATTTTTAGTACAATATTAACAGTGGGCCAAGCTGGTTTTAAAACCCAATCGGAGCTATTGTGACCACTACTTCTTTATTCTTGTAGTGCCTATCCGTTTCGGTTGTTGGCGACCATTGTGGCAATCTGTATTTTGCAAATTGCTGCTCTAAAAATATTTGTGGTCATTGTGGCGAACCACGTACGTACATTTTTCAGCCAGGAAATCCTTCGCCTTCCTGGTCCTTGATTCCTTTTATTTTGTCTTGAAGAATTAATTAGAGCAACCCATATCTGTCGCCGTTTTTTAACTGCCTCAAAATGTCCGTGGCGTTTATAGACCACCTCACAGTAGCTTATGATACAGTGTGGAGGAGAAAGAAACAAAAGAAAATTAACCAGGATAATCCAGATCATCAAATACAATTTTGCGAAGTAATGCAAGATTTATGTAATCAAAGTCCACGTTTTATTCGTCAAATAAACTCCTTTTTCTAATAAAGCAACCTTTTGTTTACATGGAACAGTGAATCGGCAAAACTGCAGATATTGGAATAAAGAGTATATAAATACTCAAAAAGTATGCGTACTCAAAACTGACACTATTTATTTTCATTACTTCTTTCAACATTACTTCTCGGGTCTCCCACAATGTGTTCTCGCCAATTTTACTATGACAACGATACGTAACACTTGCAAATAAAAAAATATTTATAAAAACCTCAAAAGAAGCTTTAACATCAAATTTAAAAACTATAGAATATTTAAAGCCGCCATCAGAGATTTGACCCTTAAAAATCATACGAACAAGCTGAATTTTGCCTAGAATATTAATTTTGGGACTTCAAAAAGATACAAAAAAGTTTATTACTTTAACCCCTGGTCTTTCTCCTAAAACTCCCCTCGTAAGCGGGTAAAAAGGCAAAAAAATCGATTTACTAAGAATCTGTACACCGTAGAAAAAAATGTTTCAAATAAAAAATGTAACTGAGATAATTTTAAACAAAAATGTTTATTAGCACTTTTTGCGTGGAATGAACCGTTCTCTCAGAGACAACACTTAAAGCGACCGGCGATTTTGAATGTCAGTTCCGCGCGCAAATAATATAAATAAAATATGTATCATCTCGACGGTAAAAAATCGATATCTTATGATCAGGGTGTCCTATCGACAAAAATCAAAATGCGTTTTAAAGATGAAGAGTGCAGCTTTTGTATGCAATTTTTGTTCTTTGTAACAAATGATGCCAGTTTCCATAAAGCTGTTCAATAAATAAACTTTGCGGGATTTTTATCATTTTTTACGATTCTCGCGAGATCAATAATAGCGTATTACTTTATGAGGCGGAGAAGCATGACTTTTCTTGACGCACCCGATATTACGCGCCGAACGAAGTGAGGCGCGTAATAGAGGGCAAGTCAAGAAAAGTCGCTTCTTTGCCGAATAAAGTATACTATTTTTTCTTCAAACGTAGCAATTGTTCAACCATAAATAGTACAATTCATACGCTATTTTTACTCGAAATTATTGTGACAACTATCAAAGTCATCTAGATGTTAGAAATTAAAATAATTAAGTCGTCGGTGGGATTTGCTTCTCCCTGGTTACAGTTGTTTGACAGTTGTTTGCAATTATTAAAGACAGCTTATTGTTGTTGCAACCGCAAGCGCAAATTTAGTGCGAAAATGTAAAATCTAAACGAAATACAAGCACTTCCAAGATTATATTGCAAAGCATGTAGTATACTCTACAAAATTATAAAAATATTTCAGATTGTTTTGTTAATTGGGGTTACCGGCGCCTGTCGATGCGACCGAAATGGTAAAAATGAAGACTGTGGACATTGAGGATAAAGAAAATGTAATAATTATCAAAATCCAGACAGTAAACACGACAAATTAGATATTTTACGATAATTGGTCAAAACTACATTAAACTGTATAAAAAGTATACATCACTGGCGGCCTGAAAATTTCACAGAAACCCGATTTTTTATTAAGTACCAAAATGGAAAGTGTTACCGAAGCCTCATGGGAATACATTCGATCAGCGCAGTAGCCCAAAAAGTAGCTAGGTATTTAAATTTAAACGATGCAAGCGCATACACGGGTCACTCTTTACGACGAACTTCAGCAACACTTTTAATTGATGGAGGCGGAAATCTAGAATGCCTCAAACGACATGGGGGCTGGAAATCAAGCACGGTTGCCGAAGGATATATAGAGGATTCAATAAGAAATAAGAACGATAATGCTCAAAAAATTTTAAACCCTCATGATTCGCCAACATCGGGAATGATTGCTAAAAGTTGTTCTCGACCATCAGTATCATCAACAATTACCAATGCGTATCAAGAGTCGGGAACATTTTTGCACGGTTTCAATTTTGAAAATGC